TCAGTCAAATGAACTTCAAGATTATGCAAATTAGATAATACAGCCTAATATCTCTCTCTACCTGCTTATCTGTCTATATGCTTGAGTTTCAGTAATACACTTAAAGAGCTGGATTAAAGGCCAGGGGTTTCTAGAAGATTATTCCTCGATAAATACAGACAATTTAATTTACTGTTGTAATAGCAAGCTGCTGATCTATAAGAACGCTATTCTTTTAAATATTTGCAAAATAACATGGCTTTTGTTAAGCAAGGTTTTTCCTCTTAGGAGTAGGTCAATTTACATTACAATTTTTTAGCTTATTGTGGGTAAGAGAGAAAAATAACTACATTTTTGCTATTCACTTATAGCATCATTGCTTGCTATTTTTAGACCATTGTATCTTTGCCCAGGCTACTCCCACTGCTGGAAATACCCTTTCCCACATCATTTGTAATGTTTTAACATCCTTATTCATTTGCTATTCAGCCCATACAGAACATTGACTGTGTATTTATCCTTATTCATTTGCTATTCAGCCCATACAGAACAATAAGTAAATACTCATTTACTTATTCAGTTAAGACTTAGCTATGTGCCAGGTCTGGGGAATAGAGCAGTGACAAAAACAGAAGTCCCTGCCTTCATGGAACTTATGTAGAAATAATGTAGTAAATGAGTAAAAGGTATTGTAGCTTACATGGTGATAAATGCTAAAGAAGTGGGATAGAGAGTGAGGATGGGGTTGTGATTTTTAACAGGGTGATCAAAGAGATTTGGCTAATGTGACATTTGAGCAAAGACCTGATGAGGTGAGGGCAAATTGTATATGTAGATATCTGGGGATAAATTATTCCAGAAAGAGGGGTTAGCAAGTGAAAAGGAACTACAGCGGGGGCACGCTGGGTTATGCCTGATGTGCAGAAAAGCCACGAGAAGGCCCAGGCAGCTGGTGTAGAGTGGGAGAGCGGAGAAGAACCACATTCATCCCAGCGCCGCTAGGGCCTAGTGCATGTCTGACACACATTAGGAATTAACATATCAATAAATATTTGATGACAAAGTAAAAAACGCCAATATTTCACAAAAACTAAATGTACTACATTCAGTCCAGCTATTTCTTTTTTTTTAGTAAAAATATTTTTTTCTGCTTGCCCAGACTTTGGTTTTGCCATTGAAACAGATGTGACTTCTGTTAATTCAGATTTCAGGTCCATTCAGATGTTGTATTGGAGTATGTCACAAACACACCCAAATCTTTTTGCACTTTTTCTGTGAAAGTATGTGCAAAGAACTATAGCTTTTGGTGAATACAAACATGGAAAATGCTGGCAAACACTGATGAATAATATAACATTCAGATCTCTTAGCAAGGTAACAGCATTACGCAGAATCAGTTAAGGAAATTACCAGTTTAAGGACTTACTTTGCTTGTAGAGTTTATTTCTCAGAACATCACTCAGAGTTTGTATGAAGTATCCTATGCATATAACCTCATTAATATTTATCTTATTTTCACTGTTATCAGCAGGTGGGGCTATGAACACTGGTGTGAAATGGCAACTTTACAAGACTGATTAGATCTTGATTAGATTCTCTCCTGTTTTCCCTGTCTCACTTTGGACTCCAGGTGTTAGCATTTCCTGCTGTTGCTTTTGACTTATCGATGGATCCCTTTCAATCAATGTCATCTCTATATTGATTGTGAAGCTTTAATTCTGAATGTTTTGTTTAAGCTTTTATTCTAATCATGTCTCCTGTCTTCCTGATTTCTCAGCTGATTTTTCTTGAGATTCAGAAAAGCATATATGGTTCCCTACAGTTCCTAAGAAACGCTTGACTGGAAATAGTGATTGTAAAAGCTCTATTTCCTCAAACTCATCAGAATCTTCAAGAAATCAAAGATTCTCAGGTGTTAATGCTCTTCAGGCACCTGTAGTTAACCAAGCTGTATTTATTACAATGAAGAACACATAAGTGGAGAACTAAGGGCTGTCTCAGTAAGAAGTTGTTAAGAAAGAATCTATTTTAGGATTTGGGCTTTGGTTGGTGACTTGAAGGAGAATCTAAGGAACTAGGGATTTACTTTTAATTGGATGTTGTCAGGCAGCCTGGGCAATTCTGTGACTGGACATCTCAATCAATCTATATATCTATTTTATCTAAGACTAGCCATAAGAATAAAGCTATAGTTTGTAAATAAGTAATAATCACTCACTGTGGCCAAGAGTGTGGCTGACAGAGTGATCCTGTGTTTGTCTGTGCTTAGACAAACTTCTGAAATGCTTCGTGCCTGTGTGCATGCTAAGTCGATTCAGCCATATCCTACTCTTTGCGATCCTATGTCCTGTACCCCGCCAGGCTCCTCTGTCCATGGGATTCTCCGGGCAAGAATCCTGGAGTGGGTTGCCATGCCCTCCTCCAGGAGATCCTCCTGACCCAGGGACTGAACCTGCGGCTCCTTCATTGCAGGCAGATTCTTTACTGCTGAGCCACTGGGAAAGCCACTGAGGTGCTTTACTTTGTTTTTTATCATGGTTTCAGAGGGACCTTGTCTGAGGTTGATAGGAGGCTAATACGTAATAGGAGAATTACATATTGTAATTGTAATTGTAATAGGAGAATAATATGGCTTAACCGTGAATACTAGACCAGCTGCTGAGTGTCAGAGGCTTTTCCTTTTTAGAATTTTTCATTCAGATATGATGTCATTACATGATGTCATTATATGATGTCAGTACTTTTACAGAAAAGTATGTAAATGTTACGTGAATTTTCATAAAGTCAACACACTGTGTCATCAGCATTCCGCTCAAGAAGAACATCACCAGCACCCAGAAGCCCCCTTTATGCATCCTTCAAATTACTAACTTCAAGACTACTCACTATCCTGACTTCTAACATCAAAGATTCATTTTGCCTAACTTTGAGTTTTAGATAAATGGAAACATACAGAATGAGCTTTTTGTTCCTAGGTTTCCTGGATTCTACACTATGTCTATGAGATTCATTCATGTGTTGTGTCCGACTTTAATTAATTCTTGCTGCTGAATAGTACTCTATTGTGTAAACACACTACAGTTTATTCTTATTACTGTTGGTGGACATTTGAGAATTTCCAGTTTGGAGGGATTAAGAATAGCACTGCCATGAATGTTCTAGTACACATCTTTCAGTGAATGCACGTATACATTCTTGCTGGATAGAAGCAGAGTCGCGTATGTTCACCTTTAGTAAATAGTGCCAAACATTTCCCCAAAGTGGTAGAGTCTGGGAAATTTACATTCCCACCAGTCATGTAAGAGATTTTTCTTGCTCTAGTCCCCTGTTACACTGCTGCAGAATGTAGAAAAAGAAGGAAACTTCTAAATATATTCTACAAGGCTCCTATTACCCTGACACAAAATTGAAAAGGATACAACAGAAAGGAAAACTGTCAGTCATCTTTAAATAAGGCTGTAAAGATACTGAAGAAAATATTAGCAAGCTGAACCTAGAAATAAAAAACAAACAAAAAAGCATGACCAGGGCCAGAATGGGTTTATTCCAGGAACAGAAGTATAATTCAACCTTAAGAAATCTATTAACATAACACATTAAAATTTATATTAATTTATTAGTATTGTTAATATAAGTCATTAAGTTCCTATTAAATTATTAATACCATTGTTTATATAGTTCATTGACATAGAAGTTTATTAATCATTTATTTAAAAAATTAAAGGGGAAAACATCTCCAGAGTTGTTGGGAAAAAAAAGATTGATAATACTCAATTCCCATTTCTAACAAAAATTCTACAAAGAGAAGTATATAAAGTTCCATGTACCTTCCCTTCAATCTACTTTTCATTGTCTATTATTACCCCATATGTTGTTGTTTTAGTTGCTAAGCCACGTCTGACTTTTTTGTGACCCCCCTCCCCCCCCGGGACCGTAGCCTGCCAGGCTCCTCTGTCCGTGGGATTTGTCAGGCAAGAATACTGGAGTGGGTTGCCATTTCCTTCTCCAGGGGCTCTCCAGGGGATCTCCAATCCCAGGGACTGAACCTGAGTCTGCTGCATTGCAGGCATATTCTTTACCACTGAGCTATCAGGGCTCCCATTATTATTCCATATGCAGACTAATTTCTGACTAAAATAACTTAGAACTTTGACTTTTCCCTTTTCTATTTATTAGCTGTGCAGCCTTGGGCAAGTTACTTAACCACTGTGTGCTGACTTGTTTACACTGGAAATAACTGTACTGACCTTAAGCACTAAGGGCTAAGTCCCTTAAATAGGAAGGGATTCAATAAGTTACTATTATCCCTTTTTTAATGGCAAGGTTTTGCTCATCAGCCATCCCATGACTGGATTGTGAGTACTCTGAAGGCAGGGACTAACAGTGGCACAACTGGGCTACTCAAGGAATGTTTGTTGAATCCTGATCCAGGCTTTCTCACCTTCCTGCCTTTTCTCTTCTCTCATCCTGTCTACCCTTTCTCTGTCTACCCATCTAAAGCCTAACTCCACATGGGGAATAGCCATTCTTTACAACACTTTCTTTGTACCACTCTGATGGTGATTATTAGAATGTTTTGAGAACTAGATGAAGATTCTGTTTTTGTTTTATTTTTTAACAGCACTTAGGACATAATAGGGGAGTTCCTGGTGGCTCACATGGTAAAGAATCTGCCCGCAGTGCAAGAAACCTGGGTTCAATTCCTGAGTTGGGAAGGTCCCTTGGATAAGGAAATGGCAACCCACTCCAGTATTCTCGCCTGGAGAATTCCATTGTCAGAGGAGCCTGGAAGGCTACAGTCCATGGGGTCTCAAAGAGTCTTCTCCAGCACCACGGTCTGGAAGCATCGATTCTTTGGCATTCTGCTTTCTTTATAGTCCAGTTCTCATAACTGTATGTGACCACTGGGAAGACCATAGCCTTGATTATATAGACCTTTGTCGGCAGAGTAATGTCTCTGCTTTTCAAAACACTAAATTTGTCATCGCTTTCCTGCTAAGAAGCAGTGGTCTTCTGATTTCATGACTGCAGTCACTGTCCGCAGTGATTTTGGAGCCCAAGAGGAGGAAATCTGTCACTGCTTCCACCTTTCCCCCTTCTATCTGCCATGCAGTTATGGGGCTCGATGCCATGATCTTAGTTTTTTTTTAATATTTAGTTTTAAGCTGGCTCTTTCACTCTCCTCCTTCATCCTCATCAAGAGACTCTTTAGTTCCTCTTCACTTTCTGCCATTAGAGTGGTATCATCTGCATATCTGAGGTTGTTGATGTTTCTCCCACCTATCTTGATTCCAGCTTGTAATCACCCAGCCTGGCATTTCTCATGATGTGCTCAGCATACACGTTAAACAAACAGGGTGACAGCAGACAGCCCTGCCATACTCGCTTCTTGATCTTGAACCGATCAGTTGTTCCATACAAGGTTTTAACTGTTGCCTCTTGACCTGCATACAGGTTTCTCAGGAGACAGGTAAGATGGTCTGGTATTTCCATCTAAGAGCTTTCCACAGTTTTTCAATGATCCACACAGTCAAAGGCTTTAGCGTAATCAATGAAACAGAGATAGACGTTTTTCTGAAATTCCCTTGCTTTCTCTAGAATCCACAAATGTTGGCAATTTGATCTCTAGTTCCTCTTCCTTTTCTAAATCTAGCTTGGACATCTGGAAGTTCTTAGTTCGCATAATGCTGAAGCCTAGCATGCAAGATTTTAAGTATGACCTTACTAGCATGGGAAATGAGTGCAACTGTCACATATTCAGCACATTCTTTGGTACCCTTCTTGGGAGTTAGGATGACCTAACTCCCTTTGACCTTTTCCAGTCTTGTGGCCACTGCTGGGTCTTCCGGATTTGGTGAAATAATGAATGCAAAACTTTGATGGCATCATCCTTTAGGGATTTGAATATTTCTGCTGGAATGTCATTGAATCCACTAGCTTTATTAAGAGCAGTGTTTCTTAAGGCCTACTTGACTTTGCTCTCCAGAATGTCTGGTTCTGGGTGACTAATCACATCATAGTAATCCAGTTCATTAAGATCCTCTTTATACAGTTCTTCCACGTATTCTTTCCATCTCTTCTTGATCTCTTTAGCATCTATTAGGTCTCTACCATTTTTATCCTTTATTCTGCACATCTTGGGCAGAATGCTCCCTTAATGTTTCCAATTTTCCTGAAGAGATCTCTAGTCTTTCCCATTTTGTTGTTTTCTTATATTAAAAAGCACTGTTCATTGAATATTCACTGGAATTTTTACTGATGCTGAAGCTGATGCTCCAGTATTTTGGTCATCTGATGTGAACAGATAACTCACTGGAAAAGTCCCTGATGCTGGGAAAGATTGAGGGCAGGAGAAGAAGAGGGCGTTAGAGAATGAGATGGCTAGATGGCATCAGTAATGCAATGAACATGAACTTGGACAAACTGCAGGAGATGGTGAGGGACAGGGAGGCCTGGCGTGCTGCAGTCCATGGGGTCTCAGAGTCAGACATGACTGGGTGACTGAACAAGAACAGCAGGACACAATAACCACTCAGTAAAAGTCAACTATTGATGGAAGAACTTTTCACATACTGAGGTACGGGCATGCCAACTGAGCGATTAACACTTTCACTAACTTCACTTATGCCAACTAGAACAGCAGGTCTTGCACTCCATCAAACATGCTTTGTACATCTGCTTTAATTACTGAAGAAAGGCTGCACTGTCCAGAAGTAAAAAAAGTCCCCTTTGAAGATAGAGATAAACGCCTCCCTTTCTGGGACATCAATTCTAATCAATTCTACTACTCCTTCGATGATAAGGCTTCTTTCCTAGGTGCCAGAGCCACACTGATTTGCTGTGTACAAGCTAATCTGTCTTTTCTTTTTTTGAAGTCTAAGAGAATGTACTCCTACCAGATTTGATGTTCTTTATTCTGAAAAGATACAAAACCACTGAAAACCATGTTTTTCTGGATCAATTCCTCAGAGCTACTGAGAGGTTGACTAAGGTCCCCTGCTGTTGCTAAGTCACTTCAGTCGTGTCGGACTCTGTGCCACCCCACAGACGTCAGCCCACCAGGCTCCTCCGTCCCTGGGATTCTCCAGGCAAGAACACTGGAGTGGGTTGCCATTTCCTTCTCCAATGAATGAAAGTGAAAAGTGAAAGTGAGGTCGCTCAGTCCTGTCCTACTCTCAGCGATCCCATGGACCACAGCCTACCAGGCTCCTCCATCCATGGGATTTTCCAGGCAAGAGTGCTGAAGTGGGGTGCCATTGCCTTCTCCGACTAAAGTCCTCAGTTCCGCTCAAATAAAACTCTCTTCTACTCTTACTACAGATTGGTTATTGATTATTTCCTTTGACACTATTATAATCATGTCATAGTTTTTTGCAGTTTTCTAAGCTCCTATAGAGCAGAACTATGCAGGGCATTTTCGGTTTCTTCTCTCAGTGTCTGCCAAAGCACAGTGGCAAAGGCTGAGCTGGGAAGCAGCATCCTGCTAAGGGCCCTGGGGATGCGGTTCCGTAAACCTTTGACAGATTATGGTTATGAACGCATGGAAAGCAAGACATGGAGAGATTGGACTGATGACCCAATCTCCCAAATTATCTTTCACTATTCAAGTTAAAACCAAACTCTCCAGCATCGGATGCAGGCATCCAAGGACCTTTTGGGACCTTTTGGTTCAGACTGTAAAAAAAAAAAAAAAAAAAAATCCGCCTGTAATGCGGGAGCCCTGAGTTCGATCCCTGGGTTGGGAAGATCCCCTGGAGGAGGCATGGCAACCCACTCGAGTATTCTTGCCTGGAGAATCCCCATGGACAGAGGAGCCCGGAGTCCATCCGGTCGCAAAGAATCGGACACGACTGAGCGACTAGGCACAGCACAGGGACACAAAACCTGGGGAGGCGGGCTCAGGCGGAACCTTCGTCCTCAGCTCCAAGTTTCCCAGGACTCCACTTCTACCGATACACTCCCAAATAAACGGCCTCCTTCCCCACCCCAGAAGGCCTAACCCGAGAATGGGTTCCGGTATTTTCAACGAAACGACTAACGGACACCTCAACGATTAAGGACAGTTTCTCCAAGCAGCGTTAGCCCAGCGCGGTCCTATAAGTCCCCCCACACTTCTACGGCCCAGAGCGGAACTAGCTGGAGTCCGGAACCCAGGGCGCGTGCTAGGAGTGGAGGGAGCCCAACGCTCGCCACGCCCCCGCCCCGCCCTACCCCTCCCTCGACACGCCCCCAGGCGCCTGTCGCCCGCCCCCCGCCGCCCTTGTTCCGGGACCCCTGGCTGTGCTTCTCCCAGACCCCCATGCGGCGGAAGCGATCTGGGATAGCCCGAACTCACTGTTAGCCTGAGGAAGCCGGAAGAGACCGGGAAGCGGGGCAGAGCAGCAGAGGGTGGCGGAGCCCTCCACGAACGCCCGGGAGACCAGGGAGATAGCGGGAGCGAGGCTGAGTTAGCGAGGGAGCGCGGGTTAGGTGAGCTTGGGTGCGACTTGAGCTCGGGACTGGTGGGCCAGGCCCCCACGCCGGCGTCACACCCGGTCCGAAGAAGACAGGTGGACGCATGGCCTCGTCATTCCTGCCCTCGGGGGCCACCACTGGCGACAGTGGCGGAGAGCTGAGCTCGGGGGACGACTCCGGGGATGTGGAATCCCTCCAGAGCCCGGAGATCGAGGCATCCAGGAGCCTGGCAGAGCTGTTTGAGAAGGCTGCAGCGCACCTCCAAGGCCTGGTGCAAGTGGCCAGCAGGGAGCAGCTCTTGTACCTGTATGCCAGGTACAAGCAGGTAAAGTAGCAGGGAGGGGCTGGGTGAGGGAGCGTGACCGTAAGCCTTCTCTTTCCTCCAGAAACAGATGGTGAAAGTGCTTGGTTAATGGTCAGGTGTAATGAAGTTTGTCTGTGTGTGAGTGTGTGTGTGAGTGTGTGTGTGTGTGTGTGTGTGTGTGTGTGTGTTTTAATCATCTAAGGATTAGCTTCATTCTGGACAGGGAAAGGACCTGTCTGCTATCCTAGGAGCGATATTTAGCTGACACTGAGCGACAGTTTTTCTGGGTCTTTCCCGGCTTGTTTAGTGACCTTGCCCTTATGCCCTTCATCAGCTTCAGAACATTTACAAAATGGGTAAACAGTCAGAACTAGCTTGTAGCTCCTGAGTCTAAGGCTCTGAAATTACCTGGAGGTATGGAAATACAATAATGTCGTATGAGACACATTTTATTTATCCTCACAGAGTAATTGGTTTGGAAAAATTATTGCTTTATCATAATCAACAATACTTGTTTAGCATGTTTTATAGCAAAACACTTGGGTGTTATGCCTGTGGGGGATTCAGAGAAGCAAAAACATCGTGATACTTGCCATCAAGAGATTTACAGAAGTTACCTGAGGAGTTTAGATTTAAACATATGAAAAATTGCCGACAAGAGTTAAAAGTTGAGGAAGACTCCAGCTTTTGGAACACTGAAAGCAATGGAGTTCTGAATAATAGCCCATTTTATGCTTCTTGTTATCTATTTCTCCTTATATTCTTTAAAAAGAAAGCTGTGGGGGTCCCTCTGTATCATTAACTGAATATACTGACTTGAGATGCAGATTCTTTTGAAGATCGATGAATATCAGTTAAAGTGACCTGAGAGATGTAGTTATCAGGACAAATGGTATAAATTATAGTGTTCAATGAAAACTGCCCCTGAATTGGCCTCAGAATTTTTTCTCTTGCAGAAGTTCTGGATATCTATTTTCTCACTAGTCCTGTCCTAATAACATTAAAATGAGACTTTCAGTTATTTAACAAGAATTTATTGAGCATTGTGTTTGGACTAGTAACATGTCTGACTGATGATTCTCTGGGTAGGATAAGACTAATTGTCTCCATATTTCCAAGAAACATTGTTTTCCTCGCTATGACGTATCTTTATTGATATTAGCATCAGCATCGTTAAATATCTGATACCAAGTCATCAGTGAACTGTCATCATCTGCCAGCTGGTCACCATTCTGTCTCAGGTGTACTTCATCCAGATAGTCTGGAAGAGGTGTGCATTCCTCATCCTCTTGACATTAGAGTCTTTAGAGATATTCTGTATCTGGAAATAAAATTCCTCTTTATGAGAGAACAATTACTAGAGAATTGGAGAATAAGAGTATGCTTACTTAGGCATGTTAGGACCTACAGTGTTCATCAGTCTTTTCTAAATGTTTCTATCAATTTATTTTGTTTCTATTAGAATTCTGTGGTGGTATTAAAAATAGCAGTCTGTGATAGAATAACAGAGTTGAGAATTCATTATAATTCCTGCATGGTGGATCAAAATTTCTCATAAAATAATTACATTTCTCATAAAATTGGCTTTTCTCATAATTTCACTTTGTATTCCAAATAGCACTCTATTTTGTCAGCAGGTGAAGGCTAAAAATAAACTGAGCTGTGAACCTTGTTTTCTCAGGCAGAGACCTAAACTTTCCTAACAGAATAGTTCTCTTAGTCTCAGATAAGCCAGTGGATCCACTAGCATCTTTTAGTGGTTTCAAAAAGATCACAGCAGTTAACATTCATCAGCCTGCACTGTGCCAACCAAAGGTAACTGACTGACAACCTGTGAAAACCCGAGGACAATGAAAATTTCAAACTCCCGTTGAGATTTCAGCACCAGCACAAGTGGGGATACTCAACACATCTTCCTACTTTAACCTGGGTACACTTGACTCACTGGCATTTACCATTGGCTACCTTGATTGAAACAGTCTGTTTCAGGGGCCGGGAAAATATCATGTATATATCAGAGAGGACAGAGTTTAGGTGATGCTCTGTTAAAGTGCTACATTTTATAACTCTGTTTCATAGCTTAGGACTCATTATCTAATGATTTGAAAAGTGTTACTAATGATGTCCTAGAATCCTGTAGTTTTATTTATCCAGTATTTTCTGGATCCAGAACTGTTCTTTGAATTTGGGAATACAAAAGCTTCTGTGTCAGGATACAGGATCAGCTGCTGAACTTTTAGTTTCATCTCACATGATGGGCTGGAGGTGGGTGATCTCGGGCTGATAGGGTGCTCTGCTTCATGCACTCATCCAGGGGCTCAGTCTTTTTCTGTCTTGTAGTTTAGCCCCTCTCTAGGGCAGCAGTTCTACAGACCCCCCTGAGAATCCCTCAGACTTCAGAGAATATAAAGTCAAAGCGATTTTCATAATAATACTAGGACACTACAGGCATACCTCAGAGATATGAAGCTTTGGTTCTAGACCACTGCAATGAAGCAAATATCACAATAAAGTGAGTCACATGAATTTTTTGGTTTCCCAATGCATATAAAAGTTGAAGTGTTCATCGCTCAGTCATGTCCGACTCTCTGCGACCCCATGGACTGTAGCCCGCAAAGCTCCTCTGTGGAATTCTCCAGGCAAGAATACTGGAGTGGGTTGCCATTTCCTTCTCCAATATAAAAGTTATGTCTACACTATACTGTAGTGTATTAAGTGTGCAGTAGCGTTATATCTAAAAAAATGTGCATACCTCAGTTAAAAAATACTTTATTGCTAAAAGTGCTAACCATCGTCTGAGCCTTCAATGACTTGTCATAGTCTTGCTAAGTGGAGGGTTTGATATATTGGGAGAATTAGCAAAACGTGACCTAGAGACATGAGGTGAGCTAATGCTATTGGGAAAATGGTGCCAATAAACTTGCTTGATACAGGGTATCCACAAACCTTCAATTTGTGAAAAATGCAGTGTCTGCAAAGCACAATAAAGCAAAGTGCAATAAAACGAGGTATGTTTGTATTTGCCTTTTTTCTGTGCTGTCATGGTGGATAAAACTGCTGATGTGTTAGCATGAATCAAGGCAGTGGCAGCAGTAGTATTTTTTAACTTTTTTTTTTTTTTTTTTTTTACCACTGTGTGCTCTGAATTTAAGTTGGACCATAAAGAAAGCTGAGTGCTGAAGAATTGATGCTTTTGAACTGTGATGTTGGAGAAGACTCTTGAGAGTCCCTTGGACTGCAAGGAGATCCAACCAGTCTATCCTAAAGGAAATCACTCCTGGGTGTTCATTGGAAGGACTGATGTTGAAGCTGAAACTCCAGTCCTTTGGCCACCTGATGCAAAGAGCTGAGTCATTTGAAAAGACCCTGATGTTGGGAAAGATTGAAGGCAGGAGGAGAGGGGGACAACAGAGGATGAGATGGTTAGATGGTATTACCAACTCAATGGACATGAATTTGGGTGGACTCCGGGAGTTGGTGATGGACAGGGAGGCCTGGCGTGCTGCGGTTCATGGGGTTGCAAAGAGTCAGACACAACTGAGCGACTGAACTGAACTGACTCTGAATTTAAAAAGAAAAAGGCCAGTTTCACTTTAAAATGCCTTTGATAAAGCAGTAAAACTTGCTGATTTTATTTAATTTTAACTCTTGAATACAAGTCTTTTTAATGTATGTGATGAAATAGGGGTACACACAAAATATGTCTCCTGCATACTGAATTATTGTTGGCTGTTTTGAAGAAAAAAGCCTGTGTAAATTTTGAGTTGCAAGTTGAGCTACCCACTTTTCCCAACATACATGATTTTTACTTAATACAGCAACTTACAGATAAACTATGCTTATTCAAGCTTGAGTATTTGGCATACAGTTTCTTGAAAATGAAAGAAGTCAGACTGTCATTTAAAGGAAAACAACTGCTGGTATTTGTTGCCAGTGACAACATTTGAGTGAAAATTAGGTTTGGAAAATCTGTACCTGCCACCTGAACTTGACAGGTTCCTAATACTAAAAAATATTTTTGATAGATTAGTGCTGGCTTTAGTGATTGTGAACTTTTACTGTTGTGTGTATAATGAAATAGGTCAACATTTGGAAGATCTGCATAACTCAGTGAACTATTTTCAGATGTTGCAGGGAATGAAGTTATAAATTATGTGTGGATAGAAGATGCATTCAAAGTATGCGAGTCCGACCAATGGATTTTAATGTAACAGTATAAAAAATTTGTTGATATGGTTTCAGATTGCACATTGTGAAAAAAAGAAAAGGAAATGAAGTCACTCAGTTGTGTCTGAAACTTTGTGACCCCAAAGACTGTTGCTTGCCAGGCCCCTCCGTCCATGGGATTTCCCAGGCAAGAATACTGGAGTGGGTTGCCATTTCCTTCTCCAGGGGATCTTCCAGACCCAGGGATCTAACCCAGGTCTCCCGCATTGCGGACAGATGCTTTACCATCTGAGCCACCAGGGAAGAATCTTTAAGAAGCTATTCTTGAAGAAACTGCCACTTGTTGAGATTTGATGTGATATCAAAGAAGAATATCTACAGTTATCTCAAAATGCTACTAAAATACTTCTGTCTTTTCTAATAATGTACCTGTGTGAAGTTGTTTTCTTCATCCAAAACAATGTATCACAATAGACTGAATGCAGAAGTAGAATACACCTGCCTTCTATTAAGGCAGAGAGTAAAGAGATTTGCAAAATGTAAAACAGTGTCACTTTCCTCACTAAATATTTTTTGCCTTAAAATATATAGTCACTTTTCATAAAATTTTGTTATTTATGTTAACATGTAACAAGTTTATTATTTTTAAAATTAATGCACATTTAAAAATATCTTTTCATTTCTAATCTGGTAAATATTGATTGATATAATCCACATAAACAAAAACTCTTTGGGGGCTCAGTCTCTAAGAGTGTAAAGGGATTACAAGACCAAAAAGTTTTAGAACTGCTGCAGTAAGATCTTCTTTCCATGATCAGTTCTAGCCTGGGCAGAGGGAAAGGGAACAAGTCCCTCTTTTTTTTTAAGGAAGATATTTATATCACTTTTACACACATCCAGTTCCCTGGGCCTCGGCTGAAGTTGCATGGTCACAAAATGTTCAGCTCAATGATCTTGTGTCTGGCTGAGACTTCTATCACTGTAGGAGAAATGAAGGATAGGCATTGGCATTTGTTTCTGCCACTGGCTGTTGTCTGGATGAAAAAACGCAAAGTAATAACCACTGTTTTTATGATGTCTAATAGTTATCTCATTTCCTATTTCTAACAATCCAGTAGTTCAAGTGATTTTATTTATTTATTTATTTCAAGTGATTTTAGAGATGCCGGAATGGAAGCCTGGGTTCTATGTAGCATATGAAAAAGACTGATGTATAGTAGAGGAATATTGGACTTTGGTGTCAGTCCTGGAGTCAAGTTTTGACTCCTGATTCAAGATTTATAAATGTGTGAGCAGTGACAATCCACAGCTTCTCTGTACTCATTTATAGAATAAGTACGTAACGACAAGCCTAACAGGATTGTTGTGTGGCTCCTTTGACTTATGTGAAGCCTTTGGTTTATGGTGATTGTCTAAGAAATGCAGCTCCTGCTCTTTCATCCTTTTTTCTCCCTGTCCCTTCCTCACTGGACTGCCCCTGTGTCACTGTACATTTTAATAATGACCAGAGAGCCATGCGTTAATTACTAAGCAGATAATAGAGACAATAGTTGTTAGGAAATCAGAGCTGAATGAGATCATTGTAGACTGAAAGGGTTCCTTAGAATCTGAACCTTGAATGGTACTGAAAGGAGGCGTAGCACTTTAAAAAGTGGAGGGAAGAAGGTGAGGGCTTTTCATTTGAGAGAAATAGCATGAGAAAAATAGAATAAAAATGAAAATTCTTAAGGCAGTTGAGTAGACCAGTCTGGTTAATGAGCAGACCATCAGTTTGATTTTAGCAAAATGCATGTGTTAGGAGTATCAGGAGGTAGTGGGAAGGTCCCAGAGAAGTAGGTAGGGTTCAGATTGTGGTATTTAGCTTTAGGGAGATAGTGGGTAGGTATTTTGTTGAACACATGTCTAATGTATACATTCCACATGCAACAAACATTTCTTTTTTTTACTGCCTTCAGTTAGACACTGTGTTATGTGCAATGAGTGGCTTAAGAATAGTTTCTTAGAGTTTATTCTTAAAGAAAGATGAGACTATACAAACCTCGCTAACACAAGGGAAATGTGAAAAGTGTCATCACAGAGAGGGAGAAAGTGTTGTGAGAGTTCATCAGAAAGGGAGATTACTTGTGGCAGGGGTAATCGAGGTGTGCAGTAAATTCTAACTTGTGTGAATTTCATTTATGCTTATTCATAATGCAAATAATCACTGTGTAGTTTAAGAAAAGATTATTGTGGAATAGATAGAATTTATAGAATTTGTTGTTGAGAACTTTGAAGTTTTTTTCATGGCTTTTAGCATCTAAATTTATACCGACTAGTTTCATAAACTTGAAAATAGTGTGTTTTATTCTGGAGTTTGAGAGAGAGAAAATGCTGATAGTGTTGAGAATCAGCATAAACAGACTATGATGAATTCTGATAAACTGTACTTTAAAGCTTATTTATTGCATATTTAAAAATTCTTCTACATTATAAATGGTAGCACGATTACAAAATCTGTCATTTGTTATATATATACACATATATATACAATTTGTCTAATTTAGGAATGTAACTGTTTATCATTCATTTTTTAAATGTGTTATACTGTTAGTTGTTTAATGCAATAAGCCAAAGTAGCCTCTATTTAAAGTTCATTTTTTTAGTTTGCTTTTGCAAAGAATGTTACATTTTATTATTTTATATAGTTGTAGATATTTTTTAACCTATAGTTACAACGTATATGTAATAGATTTAAAAATTAAAATTTTCTCAGGCAGTTCTTTGAAAAATAAGTTCTTGATTTTATCTCTGCCCACCCCCTTCATTTAGGTCAAAGTTGGAAATTGCAATACACCTAAACCAAGCTTCTTTGACTTTGAAGGAAAGCAAAAATGGTAAGAAATTCTTGGGATCTAATGTGGTTGTTGTAAAGGGTTTAGGTGTTTAGGAATTAGAAAGTAGTGAGCAGATTAAAGAATTATTTTTATATTAATCTCTTTCTGCTGTAGGCAGTGCTAATGATAGGCCGTTGGGAGAGAGATTAAAAGAAGCTGATTTTAGATAAGTCTTCTAAAGGATTCTTAATGCTTTGATGTTGGTATATAAGTAGTTCACAACCGATATACATTAATCACATATGAATCACTTCTTAGAGAGTGACCATAAGAGCTGTTGCTTGAAATTTTCCTTCCTTATCATACAGCCCCTAATGGGTCACTACTTCTCTCTGGAGGGATCTTGGAAGAAGGTCAGGAGGATGGGAAGGGAGAAGAGCAGAGCAAATCCCTATATTTTACTCTCTTTTCCCCTTCCCAATTTTTTCTCCTCATCTCTAATGCTCTTCTGTTCCTTGCCTACCATGGTAAAGAAGTACTTCTAATAACCTCTTGAGCAGAGGGAGAAAGAAGAATAGATACTGAGCCTACTTCTTTCCTGAATACTTAGAAAGATTATGCCCTCTTAGAGTTTTTTTTTTAATTATAATTCAGAGATTACATCCAGTCATATGAGGCCTTATGTCCTCCTACCTTTAAGTGAAAAGAGAGAAGTCATATACAGTAGGGAAACTTACAGAAGAAAGGACTTTGGAGCATCCGCCTGAAATTAAGTGTAGAGAGGGAAGGGTTTAAAAAGAAAAGATTAAATATGGTTGTAGAGAGAAGAAACACTAAAACTGGATTCTCACCTTCTTTCTAGAGCAGTGCTCCTCAAAATGTGGTTCCCTGAACAAGTTGCCTGTCTGGGAACTGTTTGTCACGCAGCTGTGAGGAGATGTAGATCTTGAACCTGAAATGCAAATCAGTAATGACATTAAGCACAATTATTTGGTTCAGCTGACTTCTTTTGTGTAGAACATTCTCAGTGAAGGAAGATGTGCTTTGATTTTCTTTCTGGCTCAAGCTTCCTATGCTGATGATAACAAATAGTTCTCTGACTGGCATTTTATTACTGTTACAAGACTACCTGATATATATTTTGTGAGTTTTTAAATTTATGAATTATAACTTCACCATTACTTTCTCCCCTGCGTTTTCCTATTTTTTCATTGTTTTTAGTAGTTTTTAAAAGTTTAGACTTTACAATTATAATAATTCAGGCAAGAATCATCAATAGATGCTGAAACCATTAGATGAAAAACAACTTGGGGACAATATTCACACGATCTGATCCCGAGTTTACTTATTAAATACAAAGAGAAAACCTGGAGATACTGCTTGTACTAAATCCTGACTCTCATCACTAATGATGGGACAGACTGCTGTCATGTGCCCCTGATGTGATGAATTGTAAATGACATTTCACCTATATGTTGCGCTTGCCAAATATTTCACCTGATTGTAATCATGATTAATCATTTTTGGCAAGAAAACTCTCTAGGTGAGGAAGCAATCAGACAAATGCAAATTGAAAGATATTTTATAAAACACCTGGTTCGAACTGTTAAAATATCGGTATCATGGAAGACAAAACGACTAAACACACTTGAAACTCAGTGTTAGGTGTGAATTTTGATTGGCTCCTCATCTGAAAAAAGAAAACTTTAATAAAGGACATTTTGGGGAAATCTAAATACAGTTCATATACATTTATTTAATAGCATTAAATAATGAAATTTCTTTACTTTGAAGAATGTATATTTGGGGTAAAATGTTACCATGTATACAAGTAAATTTCAAGAGATTAAAAATAAAGTTAGGAAACCTCAGAAAGATGTTACGTCCATGGTAAGAGCAGGAAGGTAATGGGGACTCTGAGACTGAGTTATCTTTTACAGTGGGTCAGTGACTGTACCTCCCAGTAGGAGGTAGAAAGAATTGGCGGGGAAAAGCCAAGGAGGAGGCCTGGTCGAGCAGCTGGCAGAAAAGAAGAAAAGGAGCTTGCAGGAGGGGGCTCAGGACTGAAATATTGCTCTTGGTTATTGAACTGCAGGGAGCCCCTACCTTCTCATTCATTAGTGCTCTTCTCTGTCTTCGCTGCCCCCTCAGTTTTGAAGTCCCTGCCCAAGGCCTCAGGATCTACTACTGGCAGCTTAGAGATGAGATAACAGCAGGAGGGAAAGGTGTACTTCTCAAACCTTAAAATAAGAAGCTGGAAGCATTTCCCACAGAATATTGTTTCATGTGATGAATAGTGAACATATTATTGAAATGCCATAAACAGTTAATTCATTAGATGGGAACTACTCCCATTGTCTGTAGACCATATATTCTCAGCAGGGGTGAAATTTGGGTTTGAGGGAGTTTTAAAATCTTAGATATTACAATAGTTTATGTCTTCTTAAATTCAACAAATATGCCATATATATTTTAAAATTTCATGGGAAGGGTGACTAGGGGGGACAAGTATCTACAAGGGCTCCTTAGGTGGGCTGATAAGGTCTGTACTGTTATGGACCAATGTAAAGGCAAAAAGAGAAGGCTGTGTGTCTATGGCTTATTACATCTTGTGACCATTAAAAACATGTGCTTTTTTCTCAATAATAACAAGAAATATATTGTTTGTGTTTCTTACATCATTAATGATAGGCCATTTTGTATATTGCTGCAGGGAAGCGTGGAAAGCGCTTGGTGATTCAAGCCCCAGCCAAGCAATGCAGGAATATATTGCTGTCGTTAAAAAATTGGATCCAAGTTGGAATCCTCAGGTAAGACTTAATGATTATAAATAACACTATCCAAAAAAACACCGTCTTTCTCTCAAATAAATGTTAAAACTATGCTGTAGGCTTAAGTAACATCCTTTGAGTTTTATTTTCTCAAATAGAAAGATTATAAAGTTATTATAATATTTATCTATCTAAAATACTATTGCTTACATGTTAATATAGCCAGCTACTGATATTGAGAACTCTGAATTATGGAGAATTTTTAAAAGCATAATTGTAAATCATGTAAAAGTTCTGTTCATTTTAGAATTTGAAAGAGTGTAACTTGAGCTCATATTATTATCTTGAGAAATGGTAGGATTCTCTTCTTTTTTTCTTTTTTGTGAGCACCTTCTATTCAAGTATAAAATGCTTATTGCTAGGGGTAAAATATGAATGACATACTCTCTGTTACTGTGTAGTTTAAGGTACATTATAAGGCTTGCCTGATAGCTCAGCTGGTAAAGAATCTGCCTGCAATACAGGAGACCTGGGTTTGATCACTTGGTTGGGAAGATCCCCTGGAGAAGGGAACAGCTACCCATCCGGTATTCTGGCCTGGAGAGTTCCATGGACTCTATAGGCCATGGGTTCTCAAAGAGTTGGACACAACGGAGCGACTTTCACTTTGACAAGGTATATTATAGAAGATAAAGCATATGAAAAATAGAGTAATAGTATAAAACAATGATAAGGTGAGTGCTAAATTATCCAGTGGAAGAAGAGATTACTTTGGACTTTGGGGGAACTTGTTTCATTGTTATATATTTATTACCAGTATGAAGGATGGAATCAGTGATGGAATCTTAAAATGTCAGAGTTATAAGGAACCTTAAAGATGTAAATGTTATGACATATAAAATATATATCTTAAGTATGAGTACAAAGTGGGAAAGATAACCAACTTAGGATATCTCTAATGATATGACTGCTATAAAACATCATTTGTATACAGATACATACCATGAAGGTTGTGAAAGGAGTTAAAAATCTGAAATTCAGTGGTGAGAACAAGTGCCTCTCTGAACTGAACTCGGCCTGAATACAGATGGCACAATATTTAAAAGAAACAAAAACAAGACTTGAATTTGCGTGCCTCTAAGTGAGTCCTTACTCTTCAGGTCCAGCCGCTGTGGTCTCAGTTCTTCCCTGTCGACTTATACGTGACTCTTTCTGATTGCCTGGCTTTATGTAGGCATTTGAATTTATAACTTTTGATAAATGACAGAATTTTTGGCTTCTATCTTCAGTGCCTTAATTCTAAGTAAAATTCCATTAACTATGACTATTACAAATGCTTGCACAGTCCATGTAGTTAAGGTAGTTTTTCCTTATGGAAACCCAAATGGACATGAAGAATGTTTTAAAAAAATCTATATCTTACCTATTTAATTTGTGAAACCTGAGTAAACAGAGCCAAAGATACATACTTTTCAAGTAAAAATGATTCTTTAATACATGATTCTAAAAATATGTTAACGTCATAATCTAGTTGTAAAGAGAACTTTTTTGTTTCATTTACATTGTAATTTTTAGTTTAAACACTCTGAGCTGATTTTTAGTTTAAACACTCTGAGCTGGTACCTTTGACTCATAGCTTTTTTCCCCACATGTTTTTGATTGGTGTGGGGCCGGACCCTAATCTCGATCTCAAGAGATTTGATATTTAGTTCATTATGTTTTAGGTTAAAAGAATCATTTTCTTTTGATATTTGCTTCTAAAGATGATGAAATAATAACAGCTCTCATGCTGAATGTGTCCTTTGCATATATTGCCCTTTGAAATCTTCTTAAGAATTTTAAGACTTAGAAACTATTATTGTCTGCCTTTTAAAAAAGGAAATTCAGGCACAGAGAGGCTTAGTAACTTGCCCAGATTAGCCAGCTAATAAATGATATAGCTGGGATTTGGACCTATGCCTTTATAAGTCCACATCCCCACTCTCAACCACTCTGCTCTCTGTTCCATAGCTGACATAATGTGTATTAGAAAAGAGCATTAGAAAAGAGCATGTGGGGAGGGAGTGATGGTGGGTGGATGAATTGGGAGGTTGGGATTGACATACAACACTACCTTTGTATGAAATAGATAATTTAGGGGAACCTACTTTATAGCACAGGGAACTCTGCTTGGCGCTCTGTGGTAAGCTAAATGGGAAGAAAATCCCCCCAAAATGGGATATACGTACGGCTGATTCACTTTGCTGTATGGCAGAAGCTGACATAGTGGTATAAAGCAACTATACCCCAGTGAAAGAAAACAACAACCCTAAACCTTATGAGAGATCCTGGGCTAGAACCATCTTGCTAAAAACTTCTTACGTAGGCATTTGAGTTTATAAATTTTGATAAGTGACAGAATTTATGATTTCTTACCTTCAATATCTTATTCATCACCTCCCATATTGGTCATGTTTTTTCGTGTGTGTCTATGGTGAGAACACTTGAAATCTACTCTCTAAGCAAATTTCATGTACAGAATACATTGTTATTAATTAGTGTGTTTATTGGTAACTAATAATAGTACATTATACTGTCTTGATACAACTTTTTTAAAGTTTTAAGAGTAGCACAAGGAACTCTTGGATGGTGTTTGTCTAGTTATGCCAGTAGTTTACACTTGTTTTATCATTTTCTATCTACCTGTACATACATTTGAATAAGTTTTCTCTGAATTATTTTATTATTTTTGAACCATTTTAGAGGAGTTATAGACATCATGTCCCTTTACTGGCTTAATGCTTCAGTACATTACTATACTGCAGTTATCAAAATTGGTCATTGGTGGTTTTTTTGGTGTCAAGAGTACCTATAAGGCATGCATATGTGTGTGTGTACGTATGTGTAGATATGTGTTAAAATAAAAATTATAAATGTATATTTAAGGTATACAACATGATTTATGTGTACATACATAGTGATATGATTACTATAGCTGAACTAACTAATATATCGTCTCTCACAGTCACCTTTTCTCTCTCTGTGTATGAGAAGAGCACCTGATATTTACTCTTAGCATATTTCCAATATTCAATACAGTATTATTAACTGTAGTCATTATGCCTGTAGTAGACTTATTCATCCTATAGAACTGCAACTTTGTATCCTTTGACCAGTATCTCCCCATTTTCCCTAGCCACTGGTAAACACCATTCTATTTTCTGTGTCTATGAATTTGACTTTTTCATTTTTTTAGATTCTACATATAAGTGAGATCATATGATATTTGTCTTTCTCTGTCTGGCTTATTTTACTTAGCATGGTGTCCTCCCAGTTCATCTTTATTGTCATAAATGGCAGGATTTTCTTTTTTCTCATGGCTAAATAATGTTCCATTGTTTGTGTCTATACACACACACAACACATCTTGTTTATACATTCATCCATACATGGACACTCAGGTCTTTCTGTATATTGGCTATTGTGAATAATGCTCAATAAACAATGAGAGAGCAGATGTCTGAGGTTCTGATTTCATTTCCTTTAGATGTATACCCAGAGGTGAGATTGCTGGGAGTTGTATTTTTAATTTTTTGAAGAACCCATAATGTTTCCATCATGGCTATACCGATTTACATTCCTACTGACAAATAACAATGATTCTCTTTTCTCAAAATCAGGAATTTTAACATTCATTCAATATTATTTTCAAATTCATAGTCTGTATTCCAGTTTATCATTTATCTAAAATGTCTTTCACAGTTATGTTTTGAAATTCTGATCAATCGTCCAGTCCAGGTTCATGCATTGCATCTAGCTGCCATGTCTCTTTAGTCTCCTTTAATCTGAAGTGGTTTCTCAGCCTTTCCCTCTTGACTGTCATGTTTTTGAAGAGTACAGGCCAGTTAGTTTGTAGAGTGGCTCTCAATTTGGATTTGTCTGATGCTTCCTCGTAATTAGATCTGGATCATTACATTTTTGGCAGGAATACCACAGAATTGTGTTCTTCTCTATGCATTATACTGGAAGATACATGATGTCTGTTTGTCCCCAAATTGGTTATATTAACTTTAATCACCTGCTAAGGTGGTGTCTGTTAGATTTCTCTACTGTAACATTTCTCCCTGCCCCCTTTGAAATTAATGAGTAATTTGTGGGGTGATACTCTGAGACTGTGTAAATATCCTTTTCCTAATCAGATTTCACTCACTAGTTTTAATATCCATTAACGGTATTCTGACTCCATCATTCCTTCCGCATTTATCATTTGGCATTCCACTGTGAGGATGGGATTTCCCTTCTCCCCTATTTATTTATTTACTCATTTCCAAAAACTGTGAAAGGATTCTACCCTCCTTGCAAGGTAATAAGATAGCCCATTACTATTTCTTAGACACTGACAGAGGTACAAGACTCCTGGGTCTGAGCCAAAGGACTTTTATTATTCATGGCATGGCAAACAACATGAGCTTCGTTGGATTTGCGTCACATTCTTGTGTCCCCTAAGTCCCACAGGGATGACACAGGTGGGCCTAGATGGATTCCTGCATACACAATGTGTTGTGCCATAGGGAAGGAGCACTGAACTTTGGGGATTCATCACTTTCATAGCAGGTAGAAGCAAGCCTGCTATTTTTCAGGGGTGTGGAAGAAATTACCTCATCCCTGATGGTGGCTTACTGTACACAACCCTGAGAAAAGGCCAAGATAGAAGTAATCAGAGCCTGGCATACTAAACATGAATGTGCAGGGGTGCTCAGGGCCCCTGATTGCCTCACCCATTATAGTCAAGAATATACTCATAGACTTGTGTTTTATTCAATAGTAATATCATTTACCATCATTGTTTGGCCACTGAAAGCCATTCACGATGGCTCCCATGTCCTTTTGATATGTCCCCATCATTCTTTGAGCACTTTTCTTTCTGGCATGTTTCAGGCTGTTATCAGTCTCCCAGGGTTGCCATAGCAAAGTGCCACAAACTAGTAGTTTGTAGTTTAAAACAGCAGAAATTCTCTCACAGTATAGGAGGCCTGAAATTACGCTGTTAGCAGAGCCAT